ATCATTTTAATCTTTGATTGCATCTAATGTCAATTTCATGACTTTGATATAATTACACTCATTGCTAGTAATCATTAGCCAACTTTAGCTTAACTTTAGAATTCTAAGTACTTGGTCCCTTCAGAAAACTGACAAAACTTGTTATATGGAACAGTCTAGCTCTCTAGGAGTTATACTAAATTTAATGAGCATAACTTTAGGTGTCTTTATAAATGTTTTACGATTTAACTAGAACATAGACAGTCCAACTTTTTTTGTTTTATTATGTCTATCTATTTCTAAGTATTGTATCTCATAAACTTCTTATAAACGTCCCGCCCTTTTAGTGTATTTACTGTTCTAGTGTATTTACTGTCTTTTGTTCCCTTGTTCTAGCTTTGCTGTCCTTGCTTTTGGCAATTGAACTATTTTCTCCCGTCCTGTAGTCGGTCCATCATTTAGATCTTCTGCCCCTTGCCTTTGTTCTTTAGGTTGTGTCATCTGCTGTTTTTGTTCCTGAGAATCTGAGATCATGTCAGTGTCACTGCTGGCAGGTCGCTGTTCAGTTTGGTGTTGTGAATCAAGTTGTTTGCGGATATTTGTGGGAACTGCACAGTGCTGTAGGACTTCTCTAGCATTGGATCCATGCTGGTATTACCTCACTGTCATAAGGCTTGAGGTGATCATGGTATATAATCTTCCTGTGTCAGATCCCTTGAACTTCATAAAGTACAGGGCCATGACATGCAGAGATTACACATGGTCCTTTCCAAGATGCCTGTAGTTTTGGTTTAACCATTCAGCTGTACACAGGGTGATAGGGTGTTGTCTTCATTTTGGAAGCATGCAGGAGCCTACACACACTCCCAAAACGGGAGCTTTCAAAATTGCACCCTTAATCAAATTGAATGAGTTCCAATGGGGCACAGAAATGAGCTGTGAACTCACATAGCAGTTTCTTGGCAGTTGTTTCAGATCCTTGGTTCAGAACTGCAAAGGCCTCAACCCCCTTTGAACTTGAGGTGTTCCTGCTTGGTAATTTTGAAGTTTGGTACATTTAGCAGGGCCTGCAGCTTTGCAATCATTACAGTGCTGGCATTTCTGTATGGAATAGTGGACATCTTCTCCCATACCATATGAGTGGAAACTGGGACAAAATTTATTTCTGCAGTGAGGCAGGAACCAGCAGAAGGAGGGAGGAATTTAGTTCCCCACGTCTTTCCCAAAGATAGCACGGCACTCATTTCTATAGTTCTACTTGGTGCCAACACAACTAGCTTTTCCATAGAGCTAGGCTTTCTAGTGCTATTTGCTCCTTTGTAGAAGGGAGACCAAGTTCTTTCTATTGGTACAAAATGGAGAGGACAAGGTCTGCTACCAGTTTGAGAATGGAGTTTCATGTGGAGAGTGTTTCTCACTCTCTCCTGTTTGAACCATACAAGTCATCTTGTCTGCATCTTCTTCTCCAAGTTTAATGTTCCTTAATGCCAAAGGAACAACACTGTTGACATCAACTACAAAACTCTCAAACAGTTTGTCTAGTCTTTGGCAGTGCTTGCTGCCTTTACAAGGTAAATCGGTCATCTCATCTCAATGTTAAAATTGTACTGACTTAGTTCTTCCAGCAAGTTGTCCCAAACAACTAGGTGAGGCTGTTGCAGTTAGTGCCGAGCACAAACCTTTGACAAAGAAGGTAATGGCAGAACCACTGAGTGTGGGAGACAATGGCCTATAATTCCCATCTAGTCACACAATACCTTTTCTGTACTGGTGTGAGCTAGGCACAAATTTGTGAAAATAAGTGCACAGTCCAAGGAGTTAAGCCCAGGTGAAGTTCTTGGACAGTTCGTGCACAAGGCCGGTCTTGCACATCCTTACAAAGGCTTGAGTTAGGTCTGATATCTTCACCACTGACTATGTGTCCAAGAAAGAGTACCTGTTCCTTGAGAAGATGGTATTTTGATTGCTTTAATTTTAACAAAGCACTTTGACACTGGAAGACAATTACAAGGTGACCAAGGCTTTCATCAACTCCTCTCCTAAGAATTGTGATGTCATCCAGATATATCAGTAGTGTTTCCCTTTGAAGTCCATTTGCTTGGCATTTGCTCCATGGCCCATCCAAATGTGTGTGGAATGTTCCACAATACGAATTACATGCGAGTGTACTCATAGAAGCCACACTCCTTAATGAATGCCATCTTCTCACTATGACATTGATCATTGACAGCGATCTCTGAATACCCAGATTGCTCTTTCAAGGAGATCAATATACTCTTGTATCTTGGGAAGAGGGTATGCATCCTTTGTTTTGATGCTGATAAGTCCATAGTCAACCAATCAGGCAATAGTCAACACATCAGCAGACACAACCATCCGTCTTATGAACTAGGACTACCGGTAATGCCCATTCTGAGGATGAGGGTACAATGCCTGCCCCCAGCATAGTCTGAAGATGCTTCCCTCTTCACCTTGGAACCCAAGAGTTGTTCTTCTCACAGGCTGATGAACCGGCCTAGCTGTGTCAGTGTTGATTTTATGGGTAGAAGTTAACAGGTACCCTAAATCACTGTCACTTATTGCAAAGAGGGTTTTATACTTCAGGAAGAGCGTAATGAGTTGCTGTTGCTGCATCTCACTGTTGTTTCACTGGAGGCAGCAAAAGTGCATGAATGTTTTCAGGCATGTCTGTTGTAAACTCTACTGTATTGTTGGAGGCCAGAAGACTGTTTTCCAGGCTCCTGGGTGCCTGTTCAGCCCCAACAAAAAGGTGACCTTCAGCCCCCACCCCCCATAGCGGTCATTTTCTTACCAGATTCAGCATTCCGGTGCAGTCTGCTCTTATCTGAAACGGCTGGTGCAGATTCTCTGAAATTGCTTTGTCACCCATATCAACCACAGTACTAGGGGCTATTAACAGACTAGATTGATGGGTTGATGGACCCAACTCTTTAACACCAAGGTCATGCTGAGATGTTGGGCTTGGAGATCTCTTGCACTCCAAATGAAAATCCCCTTCATCACTGCATTTGTAAAGCAAAGAAACTACATCACAATTAGGGCTTGGTGAATGGGTTCTGGGTTGATTTCCTTGTGGAGTTTTGCAGTTGCTGGTATGAAGGTGCTCTTGCTCAGGCACAGAACAGGAGTATAACCTTTTTCCCATGCAATGAGCAGTGAGCAACCTTGTAGAAATTTAAAAATATTACTCACTTACTACAGAGTAAAATGACTGGGTACAGAACTGGCTCAACTAATCATTATGCAAGTAAAATAAATATATTACCAATATGGGAGGGATAAAAGGACCAGCTTAACTCTTCTACACTATAATATTTATTGTATTCAAGGATATCGCTCTGTGATAACATAAAAGATTTAAACACTAAGGGCTCAAGAATGGATCCAATGGGACATCACTGGTCAGTGTCTCCCATTTAGATTCATGATTGTTGATGGAAATAAAGTTGATCCTATTTTGCAAATATGATTGGAACCTGCCAAGAACCGTTCTAGGAAGTCCTAGCCAGTTTTACAGTCTGTCTTGGAGAATGTTATGATTCATGATCAAATGGAGCTTTATGATCAAGAAGCGCTAGCACAGATAATTTGCCAACATCTTTGTTCATACAAATGTCATTCAAGACCTTTATGAGGGCAGTCTCTGTGATGTGATGTGAGTGGCAACCTCATTGGAAGTCATAAAAACAACGGTATTAATCTAAGAATGTGCTGAACTGAGTGAAGAGAACTTTCTCAATGATTTTACCTAAGAATTTGGATATATTACATATCTTGCTACTTTGAGGCAGTACATGCTGACTAGCATTTATAGTAGGTGTAGTAGTGATAGCTTCTCTGACCTTTAGGATTTTACTTTAAGTTGCAAATTCATTACTCCACAGAAAGGTGTTCTGGGTTTACCTGTGCCGGTGGGTGTGTTAGCCTGTCACTGATTGTAAATTAGAGGCAGGCATTATTCATTTTCTTATTAATAATGTCAGAGAAGTAAGACTGCCTGCCTTTACGTACTTCTAAGTTGTAGTTATACTGTCTCTCTTTAGAAATGTTGTAGTTTTGAGCCAAAATCTCATCACAAAACTCAGAAAACAATTTCACAGATACCAGGTGGCGTATTGTAACTATATTATGTAATAGCTTTCTGTAAGGTAACTTTTAGGTGCATTAAATTCTTCAGACATCTGGTTCCTATCCCTACCACTATGAACATTTCTGACAAGATAAGTTTCTCTTGAATGGAGCATTTTACACCAAACCACTCTGACTGGATTTGATTACATCTTAACCATTTAATTATGCACAAATTTGGGAAAATCAATGGAATTACCCTTTAAAAAGTCAGTTTCAGATATGATATTTCTATATGTTGATAAAATGTATTTTGTACAAATTTAAAAAGCAAGGGAGACTGCATAGCAATACACATGAAATTGTTATCTATTTTGAAGCAATTAGAGTTTTTTACTACTAATTGAACTGATTCAACTAATAATTATGAATTTATATATATATATATATATAGATATATATAGATAGATATGTACATACATATATAATTAAAGCGACACACAACAACAACCAACATTATTAACTGCTATCAGAGATTTCAACTTAATGTTTGGGAACATGTAAGGATGATTCCAAATCCCTTTACTCTATTGTTCAGATGAAAATGGCTGAAATGGAAAAGGTTAAAAACGGCATCAAATATTGTTACAAATGGGAAATTTCAGTATCATCACAACACTAGTATAAACCTGCAAGTTCTGTTGTGTGTGTGGATAAAAGAAACAATGTTGAGATATAAAGGTTGTTGTGTTTTGTGTTTTCTTGTGTTACTTGTGTATTTCTCATGTCTTCTGAATGAATTTGAGTTTGAGGTTTCAGTGTTTCTGATCGATCAGCATTTCTCTCCCAGGCTGTGTGACCGTAATCTCACAGAGAAAGTCTTTGCAGCTGTGTCTTCAGCTCTCATCTCACACTCCTCTGGCCTAAGAGAACTGGACCTGAGTTACAATAATCTGCTGGATTCAGGAGTGAAGCTGCTCTCTGCTGGACTGGAGAATCTACACTGTAAACTGGAGATACTGAAGTAAGATATTCACTTTGTCACTGAGGATCACACACACACACACACACACACAAACAAAAAATATACACTACCACATGTACACAAACACAACAGATACACACAAAGACTCACACACATACATGCACACACACACACACACACAAGCACTCACATCCACACATACATAAAAACATTTGGCTTGTTATTGTGTTTATTGTCTCTACAAGCATGTATTTTTTTAAAAGTTTGAGTTTTACAAACACTTTTTCAATTTCTCACTTTTTCAAGTTCTTGCCTTTGTATTTCTCATACACAGGAACACAGACATACACACATTATCTCATTGCATTTTGTATGCTAGAAATAAAAGAAATAAAGGTAAAGGTTGTAAAGGTTTTTGCATTTTGTAGTTTGTGTAACTTGGGTATTGTCATGTCTTCTGAATGAATGTGTGTTTCAGATGAAAGTGTTTCTGATCTATCATAATTTCTCTCCCAGGCTGTGTGAGTGTAATCTCACAGAGAAAAGCTGTGCAGCTCTGTCCTCAGCTCTCAGTTCAAACTCTTCCAATCTGAAAGAACTGAACCTGAGCAAGAATGAACTGCAGGATTCAGGAGTGAAGCTGCTCTCTCCTGGACTGGAGAATCCACACTGTAAACTGGAGAAACTGGAGTAAGATCATCACTTTATCAATGTGGGTGTAGATCATACACACATACACAATCTCTCTTTGACACACACACACACACACACTATTTCTCTCTCACTCACACACACTTAGACATTCTTCACCCTGGATAGAGTGTATAAGCATTCTTGAGGGTTCAGAGTCAAATCATGGTTGTGCCTTACCTGCCTTTGTTAAATGGGGTAAAGATGACTTCCTTAACCTTAAATTATCATAACCTAAGGAATTATATATTGATTTTAAAGAAGAATAGTAACAAACCAAAAACTAGTGTTATACATGGTGAGGATGTTTAAACTGTTGACACATACAAGTATTTAGAAACAGTGTTTGACTCTGAAATCAAGTTTGATGCAAACAGTTTGTTGTCAAGAGGGAACAACAGAGAATTAATTTAATGTGGAAGTTTATTTTTCCTTTTGTTATACTACCTTATATAATTTTGTTTCAATCATTTATTGAAAGTTATTTAACTTTCTCAATCATTCACTGGTTTAATGGGTTGTCGTGAATGTCATAGATTAACCTTAATGGCATTGTGAAAGTTTGCTCTAAGATACCTGGAGTCCAGCAGAAAGATTTATGCTCTCTTTGGGATGAACAGGTGGCCCAGAAAGCAGAAGGAATTATCAGTCAATCTGACCATGTTCAGTCTAGTGAATTCACTGTAATGCCTTCAGGCTGGTGTTATATTGTGCCCCTTAGGAGATACTGCTACTCAAAGTCCTTTATTCATTCTGCTATTGGGCCACTAAATGCAGATCATAATCTTAATTTTAAATTATTGTTACGTAGCTCATTGTTTCCTTGTACTGACCTTGCATTGGCTTGGGTGTATGTTGATCTGTTGAAGTTTGTTTTTTTAAAAACACATTTTCAAATTCTTACTTTATTTTTGTCTGTGTATCTCTTACACACGTACACACACAAACACACACACACACACACACACACACACACACACACACACATATTCTCATTCCCACAAACACAGTTGTTCATTCACTAAAATTCTCTGTTGTTTGTGTGTGTGTGTGTGTGTGTGTGTGTGTGTGTCTAAAAGAAACAGTGGGTAAGGTTTATAGGGCTGTTGTGTTTTGTAGTTTGTGTAATGTATTATCATGCCTTCTGAATGAATGTGTTTGAGATGACAATGTTTCTGATCAATAATTATTTCTCTCCCAGGCTGTGTGAGTGTAATCTCACAGAGAAAAGCTGTGCAGCTCTGTCCTCAGCTCTCAGCTCAATCTCCTCTGGTCTAAGGGAACTGAACCTGAATTATAATGAACTGCAGGATGCAGGAGTGAAGCTGCTCTGTGCCTGACTGAAGAATCCACACTGTAAACTGGAGATACTGAAGTAAGATATTCACTTTATCACTGTGAATGTAGATCACACACACACACACACACAACAAACAACACTTTCACACACATATACTCACTCACTGACTTACTCACCCATTCACATTCATCAGGCTACAACTCTCCACAAGGGGGCACCATTAACAGTCAAATAGTTTTTGATGCTTCATAAGAGCAGTGCTTCACTTCAATTACACTATTTGTTCTTGTTTTTATAATAATGGAAAGAAATTCACAATAACACATTCACAATATCTTACTTAGATTTTTCTTTTGTGCACATGCATACAAACATATGCACACACACATTTATGTTCTCATTCTCACACGGACACTATCATTCATCCAAAATACATTTCTGATTGTTGAGTCTATTCTCTGTTGTGTGTGTACAACTACATGTGTGTTTGTGCATGAGTCTTTTGAACATTTAATAAAATAATAAAGATTATTCTGTAGTTTCTATAATACTGCTTACTTCATTCTGCACAATGAGTGTGTCTGTATGTGTGTACTTCTCTCTGCAGACTGTCCAACTGCAGTGTTACAGAGGAAGGCTGTGCTGCTCTGGTTTTAGCACTGAAATCAAATCCCTCACTCATTAAAAAGCTGAACCTGAACTGCAATAATCCAGGAGAGTCAGAATTGAAGCTGCTCTCTGATCTGCAGGTGGATCCACTCTGTAAACTGGAGAAACTACAGTGAGTTACAGAGTACTGTCTCTATACACATATTCACTCCAAAACTTCTCTGTTCTTAATTAGCATGTGATTTTTCTTAGTGTGTTTCAGACACACAGAGAGGTTCCTTTCTGTAAAGATTATTTATATTTTTTTTGTGCGTGTGCGACACATAGACTGTGTGTGTATGTGTGTGTGATGGTGTTTACCCTGATTTTGTGTGTTGAGTCTGAGTGCTGACTGTGGTAAGTGTGTGTTTATGTCTAATAATTCTTTCCCGATTTCTGTCTTACAGCATCTGAATACACACCTGACCTGCTATGAGTCTCTCACAAATGAGGGGTTTACAACAAGAGATGCTGTATGTGATTCTCCATGTATCAGTATGTGTGTGTGGGTTTTTACTGGTCAAACCTATGAACACAGCTGCAGCACAGAGCTGTGTGTTCTCCCTCTGACATCACATCCTGTTTACCAGTGACTGCTCCTCCAGTGTCCTGTCCTTCACACTCCTCCACCAGTGAGCCCTCACTGGTGATGAGAGCATGTACAGGAGGAGGAGAAGAGCCTGGTGTTCTAATAACAACATATGGACAGCACTCATGTAACTGGTGGACATTGATACAATAACTACTGATTGACAAAGAAACTGTGTGATGTTTTTGTCATGAGGTTTTTATTCTTATGAAATAAATAATATAGCCTTTTAGTTTTGGTTAACAAGCCCCTGCTTCTTCGCTCCTCACCTCCTCATATGAAACAATGTCAAAAGTGCAACAAACCTTATAGCAAAGATAATACAATGCATGATATTTATAATTCAAATACAACTGATTGATTATAATTATTTGGCTTTGTATACAGACATGATGGATACATACAATAGATGTCACTCCTCTGTGCTCCAATGTGTTAACATAACAGTAGTGCTTAAGAGAAACAATGTCTGCAAATGATTTGTATTGCCTAATGAATAACAGGATTTTACTGTTTTACCCACTGTCTTAAGTCTTTCAGTCTGAAACTGACACTGTGGTGTGTGGATGTCCCAAAACATGCACCATACTATAGAGGCCATAAACAAGTTTTTGCCATTTTTGGCTGTCACTGTGGTACCCTGCTCAAACGTCACCAGGCACAGGCCTAACTGATTATCTGATTAAGTGATTAGTCAGTGTACACATCAAAAATTTGTTTCTCATATTCATCATATTCTCAAGCTTTTCATTTGCATTTATACATACCAATTAGTGCACTGACTTTTCACTGAACGAAGTAGAGCATTAAAGTGCAGGTGAGGCAGGAGGCACCTTCATTGCTGCCACAAGCTCCTTCAGTGTTTTCACCACATCTGGTACAAGGAAACAGGGATACCATTTAAAAATTTGGGATTTTTTATAAATTCCTTTTGTAAGCAGACTGTCAGGAAAACCTATAATACACACACAATGGCATCTTACATACCTTTCAGTGCTGATACTATTTCATCACTGACCATAGCTTTCTTTTTGGGAGGATGCAAGAAGCTCTCTTCACCTTCAGCATGTTTTAGACCCTACAGCACAACAAATAAAATGAATTCTCAAGTAGTAATGAAGGAAGTGATGAAGAATTAAGATTTTGCACTGTAGTTTTTTCCTTTCTCATTGCCTTTGTAAGACTATGTGAAACCTCCCCACTCACCAAATTGTAATGGTGCACAGAAAAAGATGTTTACAGAGTATACAGGTTAAAACAAACCCTACATTACAAACACTCAGGCACACATTCACAGCTGCAAAAGAAAAAAAAAGACTAAAGTCTGTTCTGCTGCTAAAACTACTGTGTAAAGCAAGTGATCTGTTAAAAAAATTCAGTTCTGCAGTTCTGTCTATGAGCCCAATGCATTTTAATTAATAATTTTAAAGTAGTAGTTTTATTAGAGATCTGTTCGCTAACAGCAAGTTTCTATTTTCAATTCAACTAACCATTTTTGTAGTTAAGACTACTGAACTCACAGTTTCTGGAAATGATTTATGGGCGTTATAGGATGATAGGGAAAAAAGTTACTTCAAACATTTAATTCTGCCATTATTGATCATGACACACGATATAAAACACTGTGCAGCAACAAGGTGTTGCTTACACACTGAACAATGTGAAAAAGTATTGCTCAGTAGGGTAGTGGTGCACCGAAATGAAAGTTTTAGAAGAATTTTAGAAACACTTTGTCAAATGCTGTGAATCTGAAGTGCCAGCATTTTTACAGTATTTCCCAATGGTTTTGTATATCTTTTTAAAATTGAATTACCAAACTACAAAGTAATGGAAAAGAATCTCAAAGCAACAACCTCTTGTACAAAAAGTGAAATCTTTCATAGCATGAGACAAGCGTCAACACGTGTATTTTTTTCACAGATTATCACCTCACAACATTTTATAAACTCAATACTTAAAAATACCTTTTATTCTTCACCAAGCTGTTAATAAGATGAATTATATTTTTGAATGCATGCCTGCATGTGTTCATTTCACTCAGAAGCCCTTTAAATGTCTGAAGACCTTCGGTTATAGCTGAATGGGTTTTAATTTTTTCACATTTTTAAAAATCTGCAGATAATTTGTACAATCATTAATCTTTAATACCTTTCAGATTTCACAATATAGTACTGTACACAATACATAACAAAACATTCATAATGAACTGATTACTGAAAAACACTAAAACAGGAAACAGACAACTAAGAGTATGTACCAGTATTTTGTAACTGGCTTGTAGCCTTCATGAGTGACTCATATCATCAGACTTTCCTAACATTTAAAAAAACATCTTCCTATGCATTCTGCCCTGCTCAACAGTAGTTGCATTTATTAGTGGAAAAGGACCGCCATAGCACAATTGCTAAACAGATATTATTTGGGTGGTGGATAATTCTCAGCACAACAGTGACATTGATATGGTAGTGTGTGAAGCTAGTACGAGTGTATCAGCCACAGCAGTGTTGCCGCAGTTTTACACTCATCGATGTAACTGCTAGGTTGAGAAGTTTGAGAGAAATATCTAGTCAAGAGCAGCTTTGTGGTCAGAAATTCATGAAAGACTAAAGGATGGCTCACACAAACTGTGCATCAATAGATGGGCTACACCCTCTAGCTGTACACCAATGGTGGGGTGTTCCTGGGGCTGACACCATGACCATGTCAGTGTCACTGCTGTTTTGAATGGCCCACCACCCAAAAAATATCTAGCCAACACTGGTTTTGTGGTCAGAAACAGTCTATTGATGAGTCTGTAGAAAGTGGTCAACAACAGCCTACAGTGTGTAATTACACCTAGTGGACCTATACGGTAGGTTGACCTCAAGGTAGGCCTGGATAACACAGCGATGTAATCGGATATCGTTGATGACTGACAAATAACTTAATGATGGTGGTTAAAATATGATAAACACCTTTGTTGGGAAACTGACAGAAAACTAGAAAGGTCTAATTTTACATTAAACAGCTGTAAATATGTTAGGAAATTGGGATTCATGTTCCTTTAAAAAAGTACACTTGAAACCACTTGAAAAGACACTACATGAAAGGATCCACAGAGCAGACGTCCAAGGCGATTGTCTTGAGCCTTGATTCTTGCTATGAATTGGTTTACCCAAATTGTGCTAGTGAAAAAAATGAAGGAGCTTGTTTTCAGGAAGGCAAGACATTCAGTTAAACATTTCATTCATGTTTGTGCATGAAATTATGTAAAAAATGGAAATAAATAATAGGAATGGGAATTTTTGTCAACTCATCAGCTTTATATTGATTGCTTATTTATGTACTTTTAAGCACACATTATTAAATTAAAATTTATGACATTTCATGATGTTGAAAGAATGATAAAGTACAATTTAAACTACAATACATACATGCATAGAACTTAATTTCAAAAACAATCAGTAAGTATATGTTACATTTATTTTTATAAAATATACAGATAGTCTACAGATGATATACCAAGAAAGTACACTTTATTGCCTAAATATGGTATGAAATTAATTCATTTTAGGTTAATGTGACAGTACTTTTGTTGAAGTGTACTTAAGTATATGAAGATAAACATTCACTGAAGCGTTACTAAAGCATTTTAAGGGAAACATTTTAGGGAATTTCCTAATGTATATTTAAGTAGACGTGACAATTAGATATAATTTTCAGGTATGCCTTAGTATGTTTAGAAACACTCACTGAAGTGTACTTTAAAATTATACAAAAGCATACTTTAAAAATATACTAAAATATACTAAACTATACTTTTTATATATTATGCTTAAGTTGACATTAAAATATCATGAAATATACTTTTGTTAAAACATATTTTAGTATGTTAAAAGTGCACACACACATTTTCTAAGCCACTTATCCTTCTGGGGGAGCTGGAACCTATCCCTGCAATCATTGGGCAGAAGGCAGGATACACCATGGACTGGTCGCCAGTCTATCACAGGGATGTTAAAAGTACATTTATTATTTATTTATTCTCTAACAACACACTAAATTGTAATTTAAAATGTATTACTTAAAAATATACTTTATAGAAATATAAAAACAGTATAGGAAATTGTGTATCTTTATAAAGTACATGGAATAAAAAATACTAATACTTTTTGTATTCCTTACAAAATTCTAATAGATTTTTAGTGCACTTAAGTATACTTCCTTTTCACAAGGGAAAGGTAGCTTTTTGTACACCTCAGTAACACTGTGGGAACACCCAGCTACACTTATATTTATGGCATTTAGCAGACGCTCTTATCCAAAGCAACTTACAGTTTCATCATTTTACACATGTAGGCCAAGGTAGTGTTAGGAGTCTTGCCCAAAGACTACCACTGATAACATGTACACTCTGACAGTAATAATCTCCTGCATCTTCAGTCTGGACATTATTGATGGTCAGAGTGAAGTCAGATCCAGATCCAGATCCACTGTAAATGTTGTCCAGTCTGAGATATTTTACTATAATGAATGGTGATGGTCAGTGTGTTAGAGAGGGAGTTCAGCTGTAGATTCAGTGCAGTGCTGTGTGTTGATCTTGAGTGAGTTTGGCTGAATTAAGCTGAACATCTGGTGAAAGTGCTGCTCTATTCTGGGAGAAAGAGGACGACTCAGGCCTGTTCATGCAAATCTGAGTTTCACCCCACTGCTCTCTCTCTCTGTCTGACTGTTTACTGCTTAAAACTGCTTGTTTGTGTTCAGCTGGGTGGGCTGTGAGGGGCTGGTTTCACTTCTCACTTTAGTGCTGCTGCTAACTGTGGGTGTGTTGTGTGTCATAGTGTATCAAACCTCCTTCAACTCATCAGTGAATTATTAAGCTCTGCCTCAGTTGAGTCAGGTGTGTTAGAATAAGAATATAAAAATATGTAGAGTGTGCAGTCTTAAAGCCTGGAACTGAGCACCACTGTGGGTGAAACATGGTGTGGTGCTGTGTTTGTAAAGTCTATTGGAAAAAGCTCAATACAGATAAAACTGAATGAAATGGAGTTGAATGTGCAGAGTGTGTGTTTAATGCTGTGTGTGTGTTTCCTCTTCAGCTGGTCCCACAGTGAAGCCCTCCGTGTCTCTGCTCCCCCCCTCCTCTCTGCAGTTGTCTGAGGGATCCTTCTCACTGCTCTGCCTGCTGTCTGGCTACTCTCCACAGGGGGCGCAGGTGAGCTGGACAGTGGACAGCTTAGAGGTGAAAGAGGGGGTTCTGACCAGTGTAGAAGAAGAGAAGCGTGGCCGGTACAGCCGCAGCAGCACCCTGACACTCAGCAAAGCACTCTGGGAAAGGGGGGAGGAGTTTGTCTGTACGGTCTCCCATGACAACGTGGACCAGCGAGTCTCGATCCTAAAGAGCCACTGTGAAGGCTAGCAGCTCCAAGATAGAGCTGACCATAGAGCTGCTTTCACATGCAGCTCCAATAGAGTTTAAACTCTACACAGTGCTGATATTTCTGTCTGTACTCTGTTCAGTGTCCTGTTGCTGTAGCTGTGCTTTTGCTGAGCTGAAATAAAGCTTCATTCTGGACATTGTGAGTTCTTTACTGTAATGAATGGTGATGGTCAGTGTTGTTAGAGAGGGAGTTCAGCTGTAGATTCAGTGCAGTGCTGTGTGTTGATCTTGAGGGAGTTTGGCTGAATTAAGCTGAACATCTGGCGAAAGTGCTGCTCTATTCTGGGAGAAAGAGGACGACTCAGGCCTGTTCATGCAAATCTGAGTTTCACCCCACTGCTCTCTCTCTCTCTGTCTGACTGTTTACTGCTTAGAACTGCTTGATTGTGTTCAGCTGGGTGGGCTGTGGGGGGCTGGTTTCACTTCTTACTTTAGTGCTGCCAACTGTGGGTGTGTTGTGGTCATAGTATATCAAACCTCCTTCAACTCATCAGTGAATTATTAAGCTCTGCCTCAGTTGAGTCAGGTGTGTTAGAATAAGAGTATAAAAATATGTAGAGAGTGCAGTCTTAAAGCCTGGAACTGAGCACCATTGTGGGTGGAACTCTGAGTATAAACCATAGAAACAACAAACTAAGAAGACCTCAAGTCAAGATCTGTTAAAAACAAGTTTACCAAAGCTGGAGCTAAATTTGGTAAGACTTTATAAAATGAATATAGAAAATAATAGTAGTCCACATTTTGGGTTATGTTTGGTTGTGCTGCAAATTAAGCTGAAGCATTCTTAGAGCTATGAAGGTGGTTAATACCTTAATTCTGTGTAATTCTTACCTTTTGACACAAATGGAAAAAGGCTCCATCTATCATCCTAAACAAAGATCTGGTTTAACAGGGCTTGGCCTTACGCTTCAATCAGACCCTCAAGGCCATCGTCATAGTTAATCTCAAAGACTTGATACAGTAACTACCGAACATGTGGTTCATCTACAAAGAGTTACCCAATACACCAACAGGTTTTCTCCTTTTGAACTGCTATATGAATGTCAGGTGAGGTTTATGTTGGATTTCCTGGTAGAAGAGTGAAAGGACTCCAAGGCAACATGGAAGTCCATTTTAGCATAAATTAAATGAACGAGAGATTCTGGAGGCTGAAGATGACAGCATTATCCACTATGAGCTGTTTCAAGATATGGTATGTGATGGGAATATAAACAGTGTAATAAGTAGACCACTCTATCTTACTAGACAGACTAGAAAACCTTGTAGAGGTAACAGGAACAGCTCTTTCCTGGTACAGGTCTTACCTTACTGATTGCTATCAGTCAAATGTAAATGGTGAATCATCTGTCCTCGCAAAAGTAAAGTATGGTGTTCCACAAGGGCTCTGTTTTAGGACCTATATTATTCACAATATATGTGCTACCACTGGGCACCATTATCAGTAAACACGGCATAAATTTCCACTGTTATGCCGACGACACTCAGTTATATATATCAAGTGAACTGGATGATGAAATTAAACTTAGCAAGATTGAGGACTGTAAAAAATGACATAAAAGACTGGATGTGGAGTAACTTTCTCCTTCTAAACTCAGATAAAACAGAGGTTCTGCTTCTTGGTCCAAAAGCAGCTAGAAACAAACTGTCAGATTTTACACTTAAACTTAACAATTTCTCAGTTGCAAGTTCATCTATAAAAATCTTGGTGTCATTATAGACCCTGATCTGTCCTTCGACGCACATGTAACTAATATTACTAGAACAGCCTTCCTGCATCTCTGCAATATTGCTAAATTGAGAAATGCATTCTCTCTACAGGATGCAGAAAAGTTAGTTCATGCATTTATTACTTCAAGGCTAGACTACTGTAATGCCCTGCTGGCTGGATGTCCCAGCAAAAGCCTTAACAAGCTTCAGCTAGTCCAGAACTCTGCAGCCAGAGTTCTTACAAGAACCAGAAAGTTTAACCATATCAGCCAAGTTTTATCAGCCTTACACTGGTTACCAGTTAAATTTCACATTGATTATAAAATTCTCTTACTGACTTACAAAGCTCTAAACAGACTCGTCCCTCAGTACCTGAGTGAACTTCTCTCCCACTATGAACCATCACGCCTACTTAGATCACAAGGTGCTGGTCACTATTAGTACCTAGAATGAATAAAGTTACGTTAGGGGGAGAGCTTTCTCATACAAAGCCCCCCAGCTTTGGAATAGTCTTCCTGTTAATGTTTGGGACTCAGACACAGCCTCTGTCTTTAAGTCTAGGCTAAAAACTTACTTGTATAGTCAAGCCTTTGGTAATTAGTTTTCCCTGTCAGATCTAGACCTGTATCTGCTGCTCTGTTAATACTGTAATCTGTGATCAGTCCCTCTTTACAGAACTGACTCTCTGTGTTTTCCTTTCCTTGCTGAGTTGAACAGCTGCCCATCCTGTGCGTCTGATGATGTTGCCTCTTCTGCCAAAATTAACAGAATATATGTAACGGCATTATATAATCAGGATATAAAAAAGGTAACTGCTTTCGTGCTATAGTAACAGAAGGTCAGTAATCAGATTATAAATATGAAATCGAAATACAATATAGGATTATTAACATTATTACTAACATCATTATTCAGATGAAACAGTGTTTTTTTTATTCTCTCTTCAAATTTTTCCAATCTCTGATGTCTCTGTGGTTGGCATAGCAACAACTAAGCTCACCACACTGTTGTGTTCCAGAAACTGAAAACCTTTAACCAATATCAAAATTATTGATTACTTTGTCTTAGGCTGTGTATGGTGCTCACATATCCAAAACCAACTTATACTGGGCTACTGCATCAGAATCAGATCTATCTACAGAAAAAAAGTTTCAGCTTCTGAATGAGGTGATGAAGCTTTCCATGCCTGTTTTGATTTTCCAAAAAGGACATTCTGAAAAGTAATGGAGAGTAATCAAATTTTGTTGCTTAAATATTTAAAATACTTTGACTTTACAGTCAGTGACTTGGACTTGGAACTGGACTTGGGCTTTAAGACTCAAAAAGACTCAAGAACCTCCACAAACCCATTTTCAACATAATTTATTTCCAAGAGTTAAAATAATATGGTATCACATAATTGAGCCCTTTGTATTGCTTGGATGTTGCTGTATCACTGTAGCTAGCAAGCTGAGCTGATCAGCTCTGTTTATCTGTAACCTAGCAGCAAGAAAAATTTGTCAGTTAGTTGTGGGAAACTTGGGTGGGCACCACTGTTGAAGTTTGTGCTGGCTTGAAACATGCTGCCAAAAATTATCCTTTTCAACTATTAAGACTACACTGTAGTGGATAAAAAACAACTGCAATATGCAAAACGTGGGGTGAAGATTACTGATGGAGATGCAACAACATCAAACTTTGTTTGACATTTGAGGCTACTCAAAGAACGGTAAGTCTATACCTATATAGTTATATATAGATACATAGATATAGCCTACTCTGTTAGTCTGTTCAGTTTATAGAAATTCATCTGGCTGATAACATACTAAAACAACCACATTACCATAAAACAAACCATGTGATATTCCAGTACTTTCATAATTACCCCATACCATGTTTAATAGATTCCAGTAAGTTTTGTACTTTGTACATTGCAGTTTCACAGTAAATCTTTAAATCATTCAGTAAGTAATGTAACTTCCAGCCTAATTTTGAATATTAATTGAATATGGTGCATATAGCCATCTAAGACATTTGCTTTTATTTATTCATACGTTATATGCTTTGTCATTTTCAGCTATGAAGAATACCAAATGAACAAAACCTGCACTAGTGAACAACTTAGAATTTCACAGTTCTTGGAGATCTGTGAATTGCAGCTCTACAACATAAATCATCCATAGCAGAAAGCAATCCCAAATTCAATACTATGTGACTTTTAAAAAGTAAAAGTCTTCACCGCTGAGAAACGATTAACACTGAAACAGTTGAACAAAACAAATCACATTTTAGTAACAGTGGACATTTGGTCAGACTGGAAGATGAGAGGGTTCCTGGGTGTTACTGGGCGTGTTATGGAGCAAAAAGGAGAGACCTTACAACTGAAGTCCCATTTCTTAGCCTGTAACTGCTTTAGAGAATCACACACAGCCATAAGAATCTGTGAACAACTTGAGGCCCACACTCTTTAGATAGTGGTAGGGGATGGCTTGAAAAATGCAAAAGTGATTACTCCTTCACTCTCAAAGCTATTAAAAATCAGCTCACTGTTGCACATAAGCACATACTTCAAAGTTGCATTTGAAACTGAAATTGGACAAAGAGGCATCTCTCCTGCTGTTAACACAAGATGGAATTCAACACTAAGACTAGTCATTTCTTCAGTGTGATCATCTGAAACTGGGTTCTAGAAAAGGCTCGACACAAGCGCTTGATGTTCACAGTGCAGGACTGGAATCAGTTAAAGGAGTTGCTGGAGATTTTAAAACCATTTGGAAAAGCATCATAATTGACCCGAGGGAGAAGGATGTCACAATCAGTTCTGTTGTTCCATCTATCTTGTCTCTGAATCGCCACTCAGAGAAGCTGAAGCCACAAGTTTGTTTCCTTATCGGCTGTCAGAAGTCTCCAGGCCTCCCTCAAGAAAATATTTCTTGGAATCTTCATCAATGTCAAAATAGCCCAAGAGCAAATTGGAAGCACTGCACCATTTTCACATCCATTCTACCTCAAAGCAGCTGCTTGGGTCCAGCGTTTTCTCTGATGTGGGTGGAGCACCATGTGCTGGCCAGTCCTGAGCACAAAGAACAGGTTACACAAAGAGTGAAGGGTAATTACTGCTAAGTTAAAGTTTAAAGCATTGCAATTTATCCTGGAAGATGCTGCAGAGACAAGTCGAGCTTGGAGTTATGTTCATGAGCTAGAGGACAGTGCTGTTTTGGAAGAGGAAGAAGGGCTATTTGCAGCATACCATAAGAGATAGAAGAAAGATATTGGAGGCAGTCCAGCATTAC